TCAGTTCTAAGATATTTTGAGCTGAAAATGTTGAACTAGAATTATCATTTTTGCTTAAATTTCATATATAAATGCACAATCCAACACCTGAAAGGTTCTCACTGATCATGATAGGTTTAATTATATAATAAATTTTAAATATATTTTATAAGAATGGACTCTCTAGAAAAGAATAACATAAATGTTCTATAAATGCATACTGTATCTATTAGTCATAATGTAACACAGTTACAAATAATCCAATGAATAAATGTCTTATTCAATATTAATATAAAGTATAACACAAAAGAATATGGTGATGAGGAGTTTCTTAGAATATTAGTCAAATGTTCAGCTTGCAATATAATTTTAAATTTCTGAAGCAATTAACAGGATATGAGTGACTAAGTCTGTTCTTTAAAAATGTGTTGTACTGTAAATAATTAATAAGTGAAAATGGCATATATATATATTTTTTTTTGTATTACTGCATAAAACAAAACATGTACTTACAATTGCTATCTTGTTACATTGCAATTATTTCTTGGTCAGCACCAAAATTAAACCTGGAAATGGCAAAAGTACATGATACCTTACCTTCTGAGTAAACTCTCTGTTCTTTTTATCACGCTGTAGTTGCAGAATTTCAAATGCTTGTTTCTGGTAACATTCCTAAACAACAGAAAGTGGACACACAAGTGGTGAGAAACTGTCACCCAAAGTTTCAAGGATTAGTGTAGTTGGTTTTAAAAAATTATTTCTAGATATCAGAATCTTGAATAATCTTTTTGGATTAATTTTTCTATATACAAATGTTCTTTAACTTCTGGTGATTATATAAAAGATTAAAGAATATAAATACCAAAAATAAAAAGTCATCTGCTTATTTTAAACAAACATAAGAACAATGTCTGTAGAATAAAAATATTTAAAACTAATTAAGTTGATTTCCTTTCTAAATGTAAATAAAAACAAAGTTTTTCGAGAAGCTAGCCATATTGCCATAAGTAATGCCTTATAGAGCATACAAAACTTCAAGCAATAATTTTTAATTGCATGTTAAATACCCATCACTGAAGAGAAATAAACTGTAAACTGATATAAAAACTAGCCAATACAAGTACCTCTTCAAGCATTTCATACAGCAAAGCCTGTTGATCTTGGTATCGAACTGTCATTAACTCTTGTAGCTTTTCGTCAGAGGAAGTAAAACTGAAATAAATTAGAGAAACAACTTCACAGTATATAATACACATATGTAACTGTAAGAAGACCTTTAGACTTATGGAACCGACCTTGCCAAAACAAACACTTGTATCCATGTATTTCAGAGATAAGTCACCTAATTTAAATATACTTGTAATCATGTACATTCAGGTAAATATTCTTTTTTTTTTCAGGCACTCTGCATACAGTTATGACATTCTTGAAAACCAAATGTTGAAAGATTAAACATGTATTAATCATTCTATTAAGGTAGAAGTTACATAGAGCAATGACTTCAAAATTGTATCACTTTGGCCTTGCGTTTAATTGTGTCTATTCTCTAAGGGGATGACAAGTCCATCTCAAGAGATAACAGCCATTTGTAAAAATTAGTATGAGTTTGGGGTTTTGTCTCCTATATATGTAATATGGAATATTCACTGACATACACAGCTTTGGATTATTGGATACCACATCTGGATCCTTGGTCTGAATTGAAAATGTGATAAATGATCATTAGTTGTCTTTGTGCAATGCAGACATATTTGAAAAGATTCCTTTTTATCTCAGCATCCAGTGAAATCACAATGGAACTCAGAGGGCTGGCTAATAGATAAACTATACAATATTATGAATAAAGATTTGCTATATTTGTCCATTTGTATGTGTTTTACTTTGTTACTTATAAATTTATTCTCTACACGAAATTTCCTGAAACTGTGTTTTTGCAGGAGCTTTTGACTACCTGTTGAACATCAAAGTATCCAATAACAACATCATTTCTGAAGTGTTATTTAGAAACATTACTCAAAACCTTTTTCTTTTTTATGAAATCCTTTTTACTACACAAATACAAGGATAATGAATACAATTTCTATATTAAACACCAAAAATATAATATTATTTCTTTTTTTCAAATATGGTCAGATTCATTTATATGTTTTCATATTTTACTTAATGAAATAAAGGCTCTTTTGAGGCAAAGTGGATTAGATATCCTGTAGATGTTATTTTACCTGTTATGCATTTTTCTCATCATTTCTTGTTTACTAACTTCATACATTTTCTGTTTTTCTTCCTTTCTTAACATATCCCTCATTGATTCTACAATAATGCAATTTAAAAGAGGTTAGTTACAACTTATCATGTTACTTTTTATATAATATTAATAGTATTAAAATATCATGAATTTTTTTGTAACAGACATTAGTATTTAACTTTTCACCAAATTATTAAACTTTTCAAGCATTCCATACAGTTCCTCAACAAATTTTACTGTCATTAAGAGCCTAGAAATCACTGGAAATATCATCAGGACAATAAAATCACGATATTCTTCACTCTTCAACAATTGCTTTAAATCATAGATAAAAAGAATAAAATCTATCATAGCAGTGAAATGACCATAGCTGTAAACATGAAGATACTGAGAAACAAATGTACCAGGCAGACATTAGTTTTAAGCAAACGTTCGTAAAAAAAGTTGTTTAATCAGTCTCAAGATGGCAACATTTTCAAATTTTTCTGTTTATGGACCCTTGAACATACAATGATTTGATCAGAATTACATAAAGCACAAAAATTCCTGAGAGCACTTTAAAAATCTCTCAAACAAACCTCAGAAATCAAAACTAGATCAACTGTAATGTACTAAACAGTTAGTATACAAGATATGAGTTATGTATTATTTTTTGTTTTTCAATTTACGGACTGTTAATATTTTTAAAAGTTCTCATAATATTTTAGTTTCTGGACATTTTAAATGTAAGTATTTTCAATGACTAAAATATTTTGTTTGGTAACATCATACCCAAGAAAGTTGAAATCAGTTAAGGATAAGAAACAATAATTATAAATTATTTTCTATAATACAGTACTAGGACCAACTAAGCTTTAGAATTCCATCCAGTATTGATTTACAAGACTCCTTACCAAGATGTTAAAAACCTTACATAGGCACTTGACTGATGCCCAATATATAATTTGCTCTTTTTAACAAAGTTGTTGTTAAAGAGCTACATTATTCCTGAATACAGGATCAGACACTTTAATTGAGAAGGCTAAGCATGTCAAATCCAAACAGGCATAATAAATCTTCAACATATTAACAATGTTAAAGAAATGTTCCCAACATCAAGTGTGGTAGTGTCAAAGTTAATAAAATTGTTGTTTTTATTTTTTTTAAAACAGGAAACAGAATTTTAGTTGACACATGCTTGTTGTTAAAATTCAATTATTCAGAAGCAGACAATTAATTATATATATATATATATAAATATAGAAATCTTTAGCCACCAAACACCTATTATTATGACATAGCTTTCCATCATACGTGATTTCAATTTTAAAGTTGCAATAAAAAATTTTACAGACCAGTAAATCCAACTTATTGCATAAAGGCCAATATGTTTAATTATTGGAAACTCAGTGGAGTTGAATCAATAATAATCTTGAATTATGATTAAAATTATAATTTACAAGACTGTGCTAAAATGTTAGAAATGTTTGTCGTACTTCTCACCTAAATTCCCAGAATTCACTTTTTATTATTATCAGTGAAAATACAGTAAGTTGGCATCCACTATTCATGTTGCTGTAAACTACCATTATACATAATGCTTGTAATGCATTTAAGCTTTTTTTAAATATACATTATTTTACATTAATGCAATAACATTAGGTTTAAATTTATATACCTGTTCTTAAAGTTTCTTTTATTGAGTGTTAATTTACTCCCAGAGCAACTTAAGTTTTATTTTTTAAAGTTATGATCATGTGAATCTTATGCTGTTACTTTTTTTTATTGGTAAGACAGTGCAATTATGTGGTGAACAGTATATATATATGAAGTTATAATATTGACCATGAAACAAAATGTAACACACTGCTTTTTCTTATGTTTTTGTTTTTAAAATTATTAACACCAAAAACTTACAGAAATACATTATGCTATGAATTAAAAAATAATATTTATTATCAGGTTCCTAAATAGTCTGATCAATGGATGATGAAATGAGACATATGGAAGTTCTGTTAATCAAAAGTGTAATGTCATGACAGATTTCCTTGATCCCAAGAAGAAAATAATAAACAACTGAGGCTTTTCTTACTGAAGTTTTCTTATTATTTATAATTAATCAGTAATATTCAATATACTATTGACAATCTGCTAGTTTTGTAGTCCTCAACTAAAAGATAGCTAACAACATTTAGGTAAAAAAGTACAAATTATTAACCAATAAAAAATAAAACAAACTGTATTAAGTAAATAAGAATAAAAAATAATATGACAAAACGGAAAAATGGACAATGTTAAAGGGTAGATATTCATAAGCTGGAATACATTTATTTTTCAAGCAACATTTTGACTTCTATAAATTAAATTTTCTTCTAAGCAGGATTTACTCTTCAATAATATGTTGAAAATAGTATAGAGTTTTCCATTCAACACTTTAATGCTGGTTAATTTTATATGGCCAAACCTGATTAGTATACTTATAGACAAGCAAAATTAAAATGTACCAAGAATATCTTTTTTGCAGAGATTTTCTTGCTCCTCTTTTCTTAACATAAGTAATTCTTCTGTCTCTTGCCTGTAAAAAAATACATAATTAACTACTGCTTTAATTGTGGATTTAAAATCATAAAAGTTATTTACAATATTGTTCAACTGAACAGATCAAATTTCCCATAACCACTCACTACTGTTCACTGAAGACTACCTAGAGTAGCTGGAAATTTCAGCTATTGAAATGCATTGCTTTGTTTTCAGTTAGCACAGTTTGACTTACCGAGACAATTGATAAAATAATTACTTTCAGAAATCAATGAATATCTACTATAACTAATAATGTTTTCAATTTGATTAATTAACATTTACAAGACTGCTAGTAGGCTTCTTAAACATCTATGTTGTTGTTTTTTTCCTGTAAAATCCAGAACTGGAGGATAACATGGTTATTAAAATGTTACATTTCTGTGTGAAGATATATTGATGCTTTTCTTTGTAGTCATTAAAGATACATGTACCTAAAAAATACTAAAATAGTGCATTAAAAACTGTCTTATGATGTAAGTTATCAACCAGATTCAAAAATATAAAAAATAAGCCAAACAACTGAGAATCTGAATTTTATCACCATTGCATGCTCAGTTAAATTTCTCACAATTTATATCTCATCTAATCAGTAAGCTATATGCTGTGTGAAGGTACTTTTAATACTTAATAATTTATAAACAAAGATAATTTCTAAAAATTACCCTACCTTTCTCTCTTCATGACTTCTATAAGCTGTTCTTGGGTGGTATGTTTTTCATTAAAATTAAGAATTTGGTTTATGAGCTGTGCAGAGTGGACTTCCACTGTATGGATAGAAAACATGTAAAAGTACACATATGTGAAAATATATCACCACAGGTCATAAGCTACATGTACTTCAAATGATCATGAAATAACCTTTTCTGATATTAAAAGCAAACTTTCATACCAATGCTACAGAAAATGTAAAAATTAGTTAAATTACATAAACCTATCAACTTTCATTTACGTATTTTTTTAATGCAGTTTTGTGCAGTACCTACTTCTACATATTCCTAAGTGACTTACACATGGTTAAGGAAGATAAAAGAACCTGTTTCTCTCTTTCTTTTTTAGCTTGAATCAGGGCGACTTCTTTCTGAATTCTGTCTTGTTCCTGCAACAAAAGATTTGATATGACAACAAACTACAGTTTAACATCATATATGTAGATATATATCATTTGAAGGCTTTAATTCCTATTTTATGTAAAAATAAATATATAATTATAAGAAACAAATTTTATACCTTACACTTCTGGAGAATTTAAATTGGTAATAAATATTTAAAGTTCAAAAGAATTCATTAATATATTTGTTTTTTTGGCATAAGGCTAAACAATGATCTGTTTTCACTCTGTCCACTAAAAGGAATCAAAGCCCAGAATTTTGCATTGTACATCCTCAAACTAACTGCTGACCAGCCATGATACTGTAAAATAGCTTTATTTATAATGTAATTATTAACAATTCTAATTTTTATAATGTGATTCATACAAAATTTATATAATTTTACGATTTTTAACGAGTTCTTAATGTCTGATATGTTCTTATTAGAAATTAATGGTCAATTTGTAATGTTCAGCAAGTTACTTGCAAAAAAAATATTTAACAATAATTGAATCTCCAGAGAACATTTCCTACAGAATGAAAATTGATATAATTTAAGGTTTTCTTCTTCAGTGACTCACAGCTATAAATTTTCTTAAAATCAAATATATCAGGCAGGTATGTCACAATATTTCATCATTTCTGATTTAAACAGAGTAAACAGAATGATCAAATGTGTAAATAACTAATATTCTTTAAATAAGATAGAGATAAGAACAGAAAATTAAATTTTTGTTTGGTCTTGGGTCTCAAGCCATAGTCTGGGGGCAGCCTAGGCACCTGAAGTCGAATAGTTCTACATGCTTTCTGGTGCATTCTAGGCCATTTAGGGGTACTAAATATTAATATTATTTACTGGTGGGATGAGCAGCAAATACTGGACTTTTGTAACTTTAACTCATGTTCCACAATCAAAGTTACAGACCAGTTATACAAGATAGTCATTCCATGAAATATTTAGACAGATAAAACATACAAGTGTTTATATTTACAATAATTAGCCCACTTTTGTATGAAATGGTCACTCCATGAAATAATATCAAACCAATACTTGATGTACAAATCAGTTACAACTAACTCAAATTATTGACCAATAATTTACAAACCAAGCCCTTGAAAAGGCAAACGAGGTGTATCATGAGACAGAAAATAACTTTTGAATCTGTGATAATTAATGTTTCATTTGTAACACGTGTATCATTCCAAACTTTAATCTGTCAATGATTCTAGTGACATACATTAGCTACATCCTCCAAAAGTTTCATTCTCCTCTCAATTGTTTCAGCAACAGCTTGAGCCTGGTTTTTTTGTGTTTGTCTTACAGCTTCTTCCATCTGGAGAAGATCCTGTTTTCGTTTCTCCTGCACAAGAGGGAGTAAATTTACAGCCTATTAGGAAACGAACTGATTAGTTGGTGTTTGGTTAATGGTAAGGCTACTAAGAATATCTAACACTGTCCCTAATTTTGAGCTACTGACAAGATGGAAGGCAACTGGCCAACAATAACCAACATCAACAATTGGGCTATTCTTTTACTAACAAACAGTGAGATTGAAAATCAGCTTATAAATTCCTTGTGGCTAAAATATCAATGATGTTTGGCATCATATCATGATCCCATTACCTGCAGATTGTGTGTCTGGTATTTTTACCACCAGATGGAAGGTTCAACAGAGAAAAGGCTTGAAACATTTTTATATAAATAAAAACTAGCTAAGATTTGGAACAATAGCCCCACACCTCTTGGAAAAAAAATCATAAAACCTTTATACTTTCCATCAATCTAGGGTATATAAGAACCATAAAAGCCTTAAAATTAATACAAAATAAAATAAAGAGGTACTGCAGTTTAATTTCTTTTAATGGTAATACCAATGAGTTTAAATTTAATACCGATGGTACTATTATGAATAAATGTTTATAAGTGAAAATTTTTAATACCTTCTTGTGATTAACAGTCTCTCCCTTAACATCTTATATCACTAATAACTAAATCTAAGCCAATCAGAAAACAAGTTTTCAATTCTTAAACTCACCGATCACTCTGCAATCTTATGTTTCATCATAACATTATTATTACAATCTTCAGGAAAGTTAGTCATTGCAACCCTTTGATTATACTACAGAGCATGAAATTTTGGCTAAGCTCTATTATAAATGATATTACTTTATGTAGTAATATTCTGAAAAACCTCAATAAAATTATTCAAAACCTATCATAAAAGTTAGGTCCATCTATAAATTGTGTACTCATGAAAATACACGCAATGCAGCAGCCAGAAAACAGTGTAAAATACTGAGCTGTTTTGTGGTCAATGTTATCAAGAATTAGCTACAGAGAATAAATACCTTTAATATATGTATTAACAATATAAAACCAGGTGTATCATCTGTTACAACACTATTATAGATGCTAAAATTGTGTTTGCATTTTGTTTAGTTCACTATTGATAATGTTATTATCACAGCTCATTGTTACCTGCAACTGTAATTAACAAACTGAACAAAATGTGCTCAGTGAATTCCTGTGATTCTTTCCTTCACCAACGTATCAGGAATATAAGAACCCTACCCTCCCTGAGGCTTGAACCCAGGGTATTCAGCTGACATCAGTTTTCTAATATCAATGTTTGTACCAGTTGAGCTATCAACATTCATGCTTCAAATAGGCAACTCTCTATCTGAAGCATTAAAAATCATTCATATTGAAAAGAAATGCAAGAAAATTTAATACATCTCAAGTTCATTACAGGAACACAAAGTACAACAGAGATGCATATTTTAATCGAATCAATTACTAAACACTTTAAAGTAATATAGATTTTGTTTCTTTGATTAATTGTTCCAATGAAATCATTTATGCACTACTTAAAAATTAAAACAAATGAAGATTGAGTTATCTTTAAAGCAATCAGTATCTAAATAGATTTCCAAAGAAGTGAAAAGTATGCTTACAAAAAGGTTATTCTCAGACCACGATGACATAATATTCTGGATGGAGGTACAATCATCGTAAACTTCTAGGGAGTCAGAAATACTTGACTTATGTTGATGAGGTGAAACAAACTCTGTTCCATTTTCTAAATGTCACAAAAGTTTCCACCAATAAAAAAGCAAAAATTTTACAATTAATTAATAACTTAAAAATATATGAGTTGCTAAATGAACAAACAGGTTTATCATCGACCAAACATGTAGTATGTTCCTCCTACATAAATCACTTTATTATGCTTATAAATTCTTCTTTGCCAACTTAGTATTATATTAGAATAATGTGCTTCCTTACTCAAGGAAATATGCATTATTGTGTACTTCTGTTTCATTTGATATCTGTGTTCACTTTTGTAGGTTTTTTTTGGACACAAATGTATTAAAATACTACAACAGCAAAGAGTGTAGCCAAAAGGAGTCACAGATCTAGAAGTCAAAGTAATCCAATGAAGAATGCTAAAAAACAAAAACAGAAAGTAGCAGAAAGTGCTAGGAAGCAGTTGCAGTGCCAGCATCAAAAACTGTGGAGTGGGGGGGAGGATCAGAAGACTTTTGACCATTCTAGCCTACTAGCTTTTTGTTTTGAGAGGGGGGGGGGATAACAAGTCCCTTTAAAAGTGGATTTATTCTGCCATACAAGAAAAAAACATCCCATAAAATGGTAGTGCATGTGTGAACATGTTTTCTTATTATACACATTACATTTGCTCTAGGTATGTAGGTTTAAATTGGGAGGGGGGGGGGGCAAGAAAAATTTAGGTTAGCAAATGTCTCCCCTTGCTCCGCTGTAGGACCACCACTGCTAGAGGGTAACTTATGTTACTGTTGATTAATTATTAATCACAATTGATAAACACAGAGCCTAGAAGTTGAGCCTTGTGACATAAAGAGGAGAGGCAGAAAATATAGCATGAGAGCAAAAAAAGACACACCTATGACAAAACTAAGAATGAGTTCTTCATAACACTAAATAAAGGTAGATATCCAATTGAACAAATACATAGAGATGAGTTCTTTCAAGAAAGGTTTTAAATAATTTTATGAAAATAAGTCACGAAATTATAACTGAGATACAAAGCTTTAAAAGGAAAACTGTTATATGTGTAGTACTGGTTGTTGTTTATATAGAAGTACAATTCCTCTTTATAACTTTTAAGTAGATACACAGAAGTCAAACATACGAAATACTATCAGGTACTATACCACACATGTACTAGGATTAAAGAAACAATTATGTAAAGTAAACAGAGATAATACAATTTTAAAAAGTAGTTTGAACAAATTCAATCAAAGAAGAAGATTTGCAAATTCATATAAAAAACAAGGAAAACAACTTTTTTTAACAGCTTTTAAATAAGGATACACTGTACGTTTGAAGTCATATCTAGAAATGACAAGTACTATAACACTAGAATATTTTCTTTAACTCTCTCAACATGGGCTCCATCAATTTGACCAACCATGTGACCTTTTTGTACTTGATTAGTATTTATAGATTTAATACTTCTAACTTTCAATATAGTATGTATATCTTCACAAAATTTAGCAGTCTTTCAGTTCATA